ATATATACATATATATATTTATCTAACTGTAAAATAAGTTTTTTTTTTATAAAAGAGAATTCATATACTTTACAGGATTTAAATAAATTATCCAAATTTCGCCTAATTTAATATGTGCAGATTAGTATATACGTATTGGATCATAAGTATATGTCGCGTACATAAAAAATTGATATAGAAATCATTATGATCAATGAAAAATTCGCACGCGCGACACAATTGTTATTCTATATAATCAATATTAAATCTATCCATAACTATATATTGCTTCTTATTCGAAATTTCAAGTATCTTTGAAATCATTAGATCAATCGATGTGCGTGCATACATTACAATGTTTTCGCAAATATCACGGATATGCACTGACATATCTTTATTACATGTATTATTCCTGTTTTACATATACGTAATTTTTTTTATATATATATTAAACATCGCGATATCTTTACGGTTTAGTCGACGATAGCAAAACAGTACCAAATTTTTATTCGTTGGAAACATTGCGCGTGATATTTACGGTTTTTTTTTAAATACACGTTATACACACGCGTAGTTTCTTTCCACTCAGTTTCTTTCCACTTCTTTAATAACTTTTATCAATGAGTTTTAGCATTATACAGTGTAAAAGTCGTAAGTATTACTAAGATGGTACAATTGAGTCCGACGGAAAAAGATGCATCTTCGTGGTTTATTCTCATCTGAATTTCTCCAAAATATACTGTATACAATATTTTAATTGTACTTATATATATTTATAGATATATACAGTCGAGTGTTTGTGTATGTGTGTATGTGTTATGTGTGTGTTATGCGAGCGCACTCGATTTCGCTTTGTTCACAAGAGATTGAGCAGTGCGCGTCACAGTCTAGCTTGCGTTACCTTAGAAGGTACATTATATATATATATATATTTTTCTTTTCTTTTCTTTCTTTTTTAGTAATGTAACTTAACTTTATTTGCCCTTTCTCGTTTTTTGCGATGTCATATATATATATATATAGTGCTTCAGATATTTTTCAAATAATTCGTATCTAAGCACGGAGGTATTATTTCATTAATCAATCCGTCCATTAATTCTCTTAGGGCAGTTGCTTGTCTGCCTGTGTCACTCGCGATGACATCGTTTGCACGTATCGTGAAAATATTTACACTGTTTAGATTAATAATTAATGATTACGATATTTCAGTAGTAGTGTTCAGTAGTGAAGGATACACGAGATCAATATTTAAGGGGGCTAATCGGCGTAGACAATGAACTGTTGATTGTCCACATCTGCAACTTCAACTTGGACATACTGAGGCTGCTGAAGTTGAATTTGTTGTACTTGTCTCCCAATCGCGTTCCGTGACCTGGAATCATTCGACAAGATAACATTTCGTCAGATAATGAAGTTTCTTCTTTTTTTACTTTGAATTTTAGATCCTTTCGAATAATTTCTCGAAACAAAAATTTTAAAACGTTCTCACATTTTTTTTCTTGTCTTGTATCAAATTTTGTATGACGAGACGATGACTTACTTGGCTTTCGCGTGAGTCAGTATATGGGATTTGAGGTTCGTCGATTGCGCGAACTTTTTACTGCATCCGTCGAAGGGACAGACGTACGGCCGGTCGCCGGTATGAATTCTCACGTGCGTGCGTAGATTAAAGTCGAGACTGAACCTCTTCCCGCATCCCTCGAACGTACACTGAAACGGTTTCTCGCCCGTATGCACCAATTGGTGCCGCTTGAGTTTGGAACTTTCGACGAACGCCTTGCCGCACTCGGCGCATACGTGCACCCGGGGCCCGTGCGTATGCAGATGCTTGCGCATTGCGCTGTTGTCCCGGAACATCTTTGTGCATCCCTTGTGCGGACAGGCGATCGTACGCTCCACGCCGTCCACCACTTGCGGCTTGCGTACCTTCAGCTTGTGACCGGGTCGCGCAAATTCAGCCAGCTGTTTCGGATCCGAGAGATCCAATCCCGGCATCCCATCCGAGACCGAGCTGTTTGAATTGAACTTGGCACTGGTCTTGCCTGTCATGTACTCCGTGAAGTCCGGATCCGGTTCTGGATTCGAACCTTCATCTGGAACATCCGGATCAGGCTCTAAGAGAACGTTATCTTTAACAGTAACAAATAAACGAAAGCTGTAGGAATCTTTTAATTTTCCTGTTACTATCATTTCTTTCTTTAGTTATATAAATTTCGATAATTATCTTTTGATATAAAGGAAAGAAAGCAGGATAAATTTCGTAGGAGAAAGTGTATCTTCGTAACGTTTGAAATTTATTCTTATCTCTTAGAAATCGAAGTGACAAACTTGTCGAATTCGAAATTATAAAATATAAAACTTAGATATATTTTAATATTATTTTTCCATGTTTTTCTATCGTACAAACTTAAAAAAAAAAATATATTTCTTATTATGACGTATAATATCGGATAAGATAAAGGAATTTACGCGCTGAGCATAACGGGACACCCGCTATATTACCATGTGTCTTCAGTGACACCCCAGATTTTCCCCCGAAATTACAAGACAATAATTTACTTCAAAACTTTTTATCCAAGAAACAACACACACGATTTATCTTTACAATAACGCAAACAGGGAGTTAAAATTAACAAAGTATCAATCATTTCAGTTGTTCAAACTGTACCAATGTCATCAACGCGCCTCAAGCTTTAGCGCACCCGGTATATACGCCGCGGTGCAGCATGGATCCCTCGTGACGTCAGAAGTCGAAGCGTTGCTCTCGTACTTCGCCCGGACTTGTTTCGTATCCGTGCGCTTCGAACTGTCGAAATTTACGGCATATTTTTTTTCCAATAAAACGCAACTCCCTCTCTCTCTTTCTTTCAAAGACGAGAAATTGGTATGACACTCTCGGGACGACGTCGACGGATCGTCGGACGCGTCCGGTGGCGTCGCTCGCACGTTCGCGGACGAGTCCGCCATTGCTCGATGGCGGGCAGCTCGTCGCCGTAAAAGAGGCCATTTTCAAAATATGGCTGCCCCCGTAGCGAGCATAATGGCGTTCGGACGATCATAACAAACAACGCGATCTGTCAAGCCGGTCGTACGCGCGAACGACGGGGTCCCGGGTCGACGATTTTCCACTCAACGATAGCGCGAACAGCGAGCGACGCAGTATCGATCTGAGCATCGTACCGGAAGTGCGTACCCGCCCGTGGATACAACGCGACAACCGGGAGAAGCGCGAGGAACAGAGAAGGAGAGAGCGAGAGAAAAAGATCCTCTTTAAGAACGCGGAGCAGGACTTAATAAAAAAAAATATCTCAGAATTTAAATTTATGTAAGTATCGGTAAGAGACCAAAGGTTGACCCTGCAAGGCAAGTTTTTTTAGTGGGTGCGAGTCATACCCAATCGGACCAGTCAGTGGGGATGCATAAGAAATTTTTTTATCGGGAAGAAGTATTAAAAAAAAAAAAAAAAAAAAAATTCCGAAAGGAATGCCCGAACATTGGAATACTCACCGTCGTCCGTGCCGGACGCCCACATCGTTACCGAGAACTCGCCCTCGAGTGTCTTGATCTGCACCTGCTTCTGCTCCCACTTTCTAGCCTTCGTTTCCGTAGCCATCTCGCCGAAAATCGCGTGATCGGACGCGCGGAAACGCGTGCCACCGCTCTTGCGCGCCTTCTTTGTGGCCTTGCGGGACGGCCCCGGGCTCGACTCGACATAAATGTCGTTCTCCGGCACCGGGATCTGGTCGTACACGCTGAGCGAGTCACCACCGACAATCTCCTCTTGTGTCTGCAGTATGATTTCCTCGCGGCCCGGCTCCGGTAGAGGCTGCAGCGCTATCATCGGCTGCCCGTCCTCGCCCTCGATCGTCGTCTCCACGGTCTCGCACGGTATCTCCACCGGTATCGCCTCTATCTCGACCTCCTGGATATCCGGTTGAATCTCCACTTCGGTTATTATGTCCGAGGACGCCATATTAATCTCCGGCGGCGACGCCATATTACCGTACCAAAATGGCTGGCCTGGGCGACACAGGGCGACCCGAGCGGGGACTCGGGCGTCCTGCGATCACGTGATCCAGGTCACGTGACACCATCTAGCGCCAACGAGCGCGTCCATAGATATAGGGACGTGTAGATCGCTCGTAAAGTGGTAACGACGCGACGAAAGAGATAGACATATTTGGCGCGTTATATCTCTCGTTCTAAGCCGATCGTAGACAGAAATATATATTTCTTCTACTTTTTATCAAAGGTAGAAGGGCGTGAACCTACCTACGCTTATTAGGAAAGAACGGTATATCTGTTAAATATTTCTATCTTTTTTTATTCGAACGGATATTTTTCATTCACGGTGGGAATACAATATACAATAGGAGCAATCTATATATTTTATATTCTATGTTATAAACGCAGCCACGACGCCATCTTGGGAGCGCTACGAGGTGCTTGAATCTGTCATTCATGTTTTTTTTCGTTGATTTATTCGAGATGTTTATATGAGCGCAGTTTAGAAATAATATTGTGATACATGACTCGATGTGATTAATCAGCATATGATTGAAAAGCCAGGGGAGATACATTGACTCAAAGCGGCATCGAGAAACCTGTGTGACGGAAGCATAGGTTAGGAGACATCAAGATCTCTAACGAGATGGATTTGGCCAAAATATCAAACGAAAAGAAGTTACACCTTTGTAAATGGTATTTTCGTGGTATGTAATGAATGTTAATATTACAACATGTATCGTAACATTCGGCTTTTAAAAATTTATCAAGTTTGAGATTACATAATTTTGATCTTAAGTTGGCTTAATATTTTTTCTTTCTTTTTCTCCAAATGTTAAATGTATACTTACTTAAAATGTAGAGAGTAACAGCGTAGCTAAAAGAACAAAGTCTGTTCTTACAACTCATCAGTGTTTCCTTTGTTACAGCTGGTTTTGCACTGCTGCCATTTCTGTGGGCTGTGAATGCGATTTGGTTCTCAAAAGAGGCTTTTGTTGCACCACCTTACGAGGAACAGAAGCAAATTAAGAAATGTTGGTGCTAATTAATTTTATCAATGTATATTCTGTGTAAGATATACTTTCTCTTCTTATAATGATGCGCATTTATATTTCTTTTAGATGTAATTTTCTCCGCTATAGGAGCGACTATTTGGACAGCCGCTTTAGTAGCTTGGATAATTACATTTCAAACTCAAAGAGCTGTGTGGGGTGACTTCGCCGATGCTATCAGCTACATAATTCCTACTGGAATTCCTTGATTTTAATGCCAGTACTTTGTTGGTATGCAATAATTTATTACAAACATGTATATTAAATTATCTTTGTATATTAGTTTTGCGCAATAATTATAATTGTAAATTCACGCAACATTTTATATTTTATATATAGTAAAAAGAAAGCATTTTTTATAGCACATATATGTGACTATTAAAAAATATCGATCTCAAAAAGATCTCCAATTTAACCTAGTAGCGCAATTATATCTGTTTTTTTAAAATGATTCACATTTACATGTGTTGCAACAGCGCAGTTGCGACAAAATACTATAAAAAAATATAATATTATTTTTTGTACATTTCAATCGTAAGTTTCAATTTTGGATTTGCTTGGGAATGCTGTATAACATTTTTATGCACTTTTAAGAGAATACGAGCGAGATTATAAGTACGCAGATCCAAATACGTGAAATCGCGTATTTCCACATTTACATTACACCAATTTGTTTTAACAAGTTTTGTTTCAGAGTCTAAATTTGTATGACTCTTCGTCTTTGTATGTACAATCTTACTTCTCGATAAACTAATCTGGACAAAAACTGAAACACGATAAAATACAATAAGTATGTTACTTATGTAACAAAAATCTTCGTTTTCATATAAGGGAAAATAAACTCACCAATAGGGCTAATAAGTCCGCAGACATAAGCATGTAAAACACATCGTTCCATTTAGCCCATCGAGACACTAAACCCGCCAATAGCGGACCAACTGCAGCACCAATGCTGCCAGTTCCGTCAATGATGGCAGTCACTGTAGCTAACGCTTTTGAATTGTCTCCTAAGTTAGGATGAGTTCCTAGTTCGGCCGACACAGCGGTCGTTATCAAAGCATAAGGACCATTTACTAATACTCCTGCTATTAGTAGTAATACTATGTTGACGCCTAGATTGATGTTCCCAATATAATTGTATAAAAATAACTGTGGAATATCGCATGCATTAAAAAAATTAGTCTTATGTTTGTTTGCAATTATATTCTGTACTATAGTGTTTAGTGAAATCAGAGCGCGCGCATCAAATCTTAGTGATATTTAATAAAACTTTAGAAAGTTAAGCAAATAAATTATGCAAATAAATTAATCTTTCAGTTTACATTTTTAGCTAATACTACAGCACGCATTGCTGTAGTATAAGATTAATATTGTGTGGCTTTTAAAAGAATGTGGTAAAATTGCTTAGGCTTTAGTCTTGCAGTTTTTTTGCGAAATTTTTGCTATCATTTCACTATTCACTCTGTCATTGTTTGCAAATAAAACCATATTTACCGCGGGACATGCGAATCCAAACATCGCGACGCATGTCAGGGCACTCATGCCGCTGAAATCTGAGAGAACACCGGCTGCTATAGCGCCTACTATACCGCCGATGTCGAACAGAATCGACAATGTCGCACTCGCAGTTGCGCCATACGAAGCTACGAAAAAATCCAAAAGAATTATAAGATGAAATTACACTGCTAATCGAAAAATGATGTTTTTGTGATACCAACTTGAAGCTTCAATGTACAATGGTAACCAGTAGAGGAATGTATAGCTAACGAGCTTCGCGAAGAACAAAGATAAGGAATATTCGATGACACCGGGTATCTTCATGGCTCCTATGAATCCGATCGCGTTATCACGAGGTGCGTAATGAATACGACGGTGTCCTGATAGCATCGGGCTGGTCTCGGATCGTTCATTGGCCAAATGCTTTCAAAAACATATATAAATTATATACATATTATTTATATATAATAATCTATACACATATACACACATATACATTTTAGTCGAAAGAAATTGTAATGTTGGTAAATTTTATGCTAATACATATTATATTGCTGCATGTGATACATATTCTTGCACGCCTTAAGAGTTGCAAATAAATTAAATAACATAATACATAACATAATACATGCATTATTTACACAATACTTGAAGTATTTGAGAATGTAATATTAGCTATTGAAGAGTGGCATGCACTTACGTTGGCAGACAGTTGTTCACGGTAGACACAGCGATAGATGACACGCTAGGTAGAAGTACACAGCAGATGATTATTTATTATGGGTAGTGCAAACTATAACTCTACTAAAAATAATCAAATATTTATCTTGTTATTACTGAAAAACTAAAAAGACTGGAAGAAAAACAGCAGGTACAATTCCAGGAACGATCACAATGGAAAAACATGCTTGTAATTTAATAAACATGCTATTACTGGTGTTAATTAACGACTGTTACGCTACAATTTTACAATTTCTACTAAACTTAGAGAAGACAACAGCGTGTTATATGTGTGGTATTTACTGAATGAAAAGACAAGAATATATTATCAACAGTGACTTACATCCTCACCGATACTATGAGAATCGGAACCTACATCGGCCTGATCATCATCCGAACTATTCGTTACGTCGATTTTTCGATATCCGACAGAGGCGGGCGGACTATATCCTATGTCGACAGGATTTGGCACTAAGAACAGAAAGAGGAGAAATCCCATTGCACCCATTATCACTCCGGGCACTATGAAACTCAGACTCCAGTCGGACTCGACGTACGCGGCCGCGATTAAAGTGCCTAATATATTTCCTAAAGATGTATGAGAGTTCCACACTCCGAAGATCAAGCCGCGCTTCCCTCTTCCGAACCAATTTCCCACAACTGTTACCACACCGGGCCAACCAGAAGTTTGAAAGATTCCGCCTATTGCCTGTTATGTAAAAAAAAAAAGGAAGAAAACCACATGAAAATGTAGGCATTGATATGTTTTATCAATCTGATATTTACCTGCACGACAATAAAATACCACAGACTATGGATATTGTATGATTTAGCGATTCCGAATAGATAGCATGATATGCCTGACGCGAGCATACCGAGGGAAAGGAAATATCGCAGATTTACTCTCTCCGCTATAAACCCGCTGCACAGAAAAAAAAAGATCATCGTTACACAAAATATTTCTGCATTATGATAAGTGAATAAGCTCACTTCAAAGTGTCCACCTGAGAAACATAGCCGCTGCATATGAGAACAGGAAGGCCGAGTCCAACATGCCGAGTAATGCTGGTGCATCTTCAGTATCTATAAAAATAATTTTTGGATTATGTCAGTCTAATACATAAGAATATGACGAATGGATATTGATAAATTATTTTGAACTATTAATTACAATACAATATTTATTTTAATATCCATCATATTTACATTTATCTATTCTTACCAAATGGAGCCCAATCGCACCAAGTGTCACGATTACTGTCATTCACTGGAATATTCGGAGGTGGCGGCAAATTGCTGCAATTGTGAGTCAGAACACTCTTCACTACGGATATCGGCTTCCGAGTCATATGGTAACAAGTGTATGCTAAATAAGTAAGCGCCAGTATTCCTCCTTGGTGCCACATCATCCGATTGACACGACGATGCTCGCAGCAACCATTGCACATATATTTTAAGGCTTGAAAGCCCCATGGCAAGTCTCTCATCGGCCCATTCATATTTAATACTTTTTTCAATTCTCTGCTATTCAATTACTTATCATATGCGTTCAATATTAATAATACTCAATCTATTAAATCTATGATCATTAAATAACAAAGCACTGATTTCTGTACTGTATTCTTTGATGCATGAATACGTATTTTATGCAATATTGCATTTAAAAAATATTTCTATCTCTGTAATATTCAACACATATGTAGAATATACGATTGTGTTAAAATAAATAATTAAAAAATCATTATTGTATACTAATTAGCTAAATTGATGGATAAGAACTTGTAAATCCTTTTGTACATAATCTTGTGATAAATTATATGTCATAACTGTAGTGAATACTTTGTCGACGTTACGTTCGCGACGTTTTTCATAATATTAATTCGCTGTCGTCGCTGACAGAGTGGTAATTGGACACTAATAGGTGACGACGACAAATGATAAATAAACACAGCTGTGAATCGTAACCTAGAACAAAGAAAGAATTCAAAGTTCAGGAATGACTAAAGTAAATCTCGAAAAATGTATTACTCACTCATAGGAGATTACGGAAACAAAATTTGATAAATGCAATCTTGTTCTTGTTTCTTATTCTTTTCCTCTAATGGAATGTTTATATTACACAACAGTATAAAGTGACAACTCAACTGCGATATCAGCAACGCCTACACGCGCTCTCGCATATGTAAAGTCGATTATAACATCGATATTGTGGGACTAATTATAACACGTTTCTTTCAACGTGTTAATTATTGCGTAGATCTCGAATGATTTTATTATTATTTAGATAAATACGATTGATTATACATTACGTAAGTCAATTCATCTCGTGGTCAGTTTTAGGTTATCTGTTATAATAAAAATAAACTTTTTTTTAAAATGAAATTTTAATGTAGTTAAGATCTTATATATATACGAACATGAACATGTTCAACATCAATTTATATAGAATATTTAATTTGTACATTTATAGAGTATTCTGGAAATTCGAGTATTATATAGTATATTTATAATATATTTATAATTACAGTATATATTTACATTGTTTTAATCTATATTTGCAGAATAGCAGAACGGAAATTTTAATTTGGTCAATAAGTGTCTTCTATCTATAGAATGCCATGAGTGATCTCAAGGTGTATCCTTACTTTACAAAAAATTTTCTTGCGGTAGCAAGACATTACTTTATTTGTACTATCTCTAGTTAGGAACCTTAACGTTGCACAGAGATCTGTCTGTGCCTTTTCCAAGTGCTCGAGAAGCAGAAGTAGCGTATCAAGTGCTTCGAGTTGACGAAGAACCACCAAGAAGCGGAGTCACAAAGAAACTTGTATTAAAAAATAACATCCTGGAAGTGTAAGTATGCAGAATAATTCCGTATAATTATATGTTGCTAACGTTTGCCATTTCCTTTGCAGATCATTCAGTGGGAAAGAAGCACGCAAAGTACGCGTGGGACTTGGGGCCTTCTTCGATAGTCTACTACTAGTCACAGAAACCATTCAACAATTTGGTCCACCTGAATCGACGTACAGTCATTACTGCGAGACTAATATACATCTGTAATATTTTTTTAATTAATTATATTTTTTTAATGTTACGCAAGATACGCAGGCATTATGGAGCACACTCCTGCGCCTTACGGTCCCAGAGCGGTGTACGGATATGCAATGTACATAGGCGCGAATATGATTTTCCTATTATACGTGATATGGACGGTGGTGCCGGACGAAGTGCTGCACGATTATTTCGGTCTGACTTACTGGCCGTCAAAATATTGGGCGGTCGCGATTCCCATATGGGCGCTAACCGCCCTCGCTACATTCGCCTTTCTGATCTATCCGGCTATCAATATGTCAATAACTCCGGATATCGATGATATACGCACCATCACGGATAAATACGCCCTGCAAAAAACTGAGACTACTCCAGGCGGAATACCAGCTGTCTCTGATATACCCATTACAGAAGTTTGCAGGGAATTGTATTTGAAAAAAAATTAACTTGTAATTATGGGCACAATTAATTTTTTTATTAAGGGATATATACAATTTATTAGAAATATTATTTGAGACACCTGTATATATATAGTATGTATAAAATTGAGTTAACACTGTTGAAAATGTTATGTAACAGGATAATGATCCACTCGCGGTATCAAACAGTAATCAAAAACGAATCTTTTTTGACAAATTGACATTCAACATTCCAAAACTGGATCTGTATTATTTTAAAAACAAACTATATGTTACAGGGTTAAAGTAAAATCATGTATCCAAATAAATGCCAGATATTTTATTTATATTGTTTTGCACATTTATTATTAATAAATGTATGTATAACAATCATTTTTGGCACCGAAGATTTAATAATATTTCTTTTTTTTTCAATCAGGAATTTCTTACACTGAATATTCTTACACTGTAGCATACATTACTATACTATAGATATTTTTGCTCTATACATTACATAATTCGATAACGAACTGTTAGTACGGATCGAGGAATGAGAGTATCAACATTTCCATTCGCGATTATCGTTTATCTATAATGAGAAAGCTCATCTTTGAGAAGAATCCGCGTGAAATGAATAACGCTGATAGAAATGAGAGTGAGGACGATCCTTCTACGCACAGTTCTCATATTGAAAATCGTCCCTTCCAGTTTATGGATCTGCGACAATCCATAAAAGATAAAATTAGTAAAAGGGAGATATTTTACAGTTTCGAAATTGTTTCTGTGAGGAAACCCAAAACATTTTACCAAAGGTTTGTACAGTAAAAGGAACTGGAGCCACACAATTGTAATACTAATATAATCTAGTAATTAGAAAAATTACAATAATACGAGAGAGAAGCAAACTTTTTTTTTTAGATATGAGACTTTAAATAGGTGAGGTTCTTGTGTGTAATAGTTTTTGATATTTTTTTATTGAAATTGTTTATATATACAATTAGTCTTATAGATTCTCTTAATAAAGAATATTTATTTTTATTTTCCTGTAAATCAATATAAGACAGGAAATATAATGCATATTTTAAAAAGTGTAACATATATCAGGCTTCTGATGGACATGGATAAGTATTTGCCTCTTTTTTACGCGTTAACCTGGCATAACGAAGGAGCTTCTGGCAGTAATAATTATTTGCCTTTGGACTTGGTAAAGAATTTTCCATCCAATACTCTTTTACATCTAGCAGCTAAGGATCTAAAGCGTGACGAAGTCGTTTGTATCTTAAAAAAAGCCCTTGCCTTTGGAATAATTAATATATTTGCGCTACAAGGAGGTAATTTTTTCATCATTAATTTCTTCAATCCTCTCGAACATTTAATCAACAAAAATCTAGATTCTAAATTTACGAAAGAATTCTTTCTCTCTCTAAAATATATCTTTAATTTTTATATATTTTAATTTATATATATATATATATATATATATATATATATGTATGTATTTTTTACGATATGTTCTCTAAGATAGATTCGGGATATTCTGTTTGTCAAAAAACGTAATCAACGTAATATCTTAAATGACTTGCGATAAAATGTATACTTGAAGTTTGATTTTTTATTATTTTCCCAAGTATTATATGTAAAAAAAATATATTATATTTGTTTGCGAATCGAAGATGCAGATTCGTTATTAGAAGACGGCGACTTCAAATATGCAGCGGATTTGATTGCTTTTATAAGGGAACAATTTGGCGATACGTTTTGTATATGTGTGGCAGGTTATCCACAAATGCACCCGAAATCTTTCTCAAAGGAACTCGACTTACATTATTTAAAGGCGAAAGTAATAATCGATATCTATTCACAATAACGAAAAATATTTTGCAGCCGTAATTTTTTTTTTTACAGTACATATATACATATTTTTTTGAATAAAAATTTGCGTGTGTGTGTGTGTACTTTGTCCTGATTTTCGATATCGCACACATTTTCAAGAGCAATTAAATATACGAAGTTTCCACTTTCATAACATTTTTTATTTTTCCACTTTCATAACATTTTTTATAATATTTTATAACATATTTATTTTATGTCTTTCATATATATGTATTTGTTAACTAAAAACACGCGACCACAGGATGATGGAACATTTTGTATATTGTTTAAATATGTGTGGTCTATCCAATGCGATCTTGTGGTAGTGTCATTACGAATAAGATATCCCCATCACGACATATTTTTTTGATATTTTTATGTCTCTCATATATATATATATATATTTGTATAAAAAAACATGTGACCACAGAAATGACAGAACGTTTTGTATACTGTTTAAATATGTGTGGTCTACCAAATATAATCTTGTGGTAATGTCATTATAATAGTGATGTCCTTATCATACGCGTTTTTTTTTATTTTTTTAAATTTTTAAATTTTTTTTTTTTTTTTTCTTTTGGTATCGAATCTCAATTCAAGTATATATTTGCGTTTACCGATTCAATATATTTTTCATTATATTACAACGGCCTTTAGGAAGTTTTATCGGTGTTGAATTATCATCAGCCTTCTATACACGGTGTCCCCAAAAAAACTGGATATTACGTTCCTTGTGACACAAATTTTTACCGCATTAAAAAAAGATCGAAATTGATCGAAAGACCCCGAGAGGTTACAATCAAGGTCGAATGTTTCTGGGACACGTTGTAGTATAAAGAAAGAGAGAATTACATAAGGATATCTCGGGTTCTTATATCTTTAAACATTATTTGTAGGATGATTGTACGTGTATACGTGTGTTAGTAAGCGTGTATGACTGCCTTCAATCGAATTTAGAAAAACAAGCTTTCTTCTTTTTAAACACTTTGTTTTTAGAAAGTTTAACAAAGTCGATCGATTCGCATCTCCGTAAAGTTCCAACAGTATATTCAACGAAATGTACATTTCGCGAAGTCGATCGGGTTCTTATATCTTTAAACATTTAACAAAGTCGATCGATTCGCATCTCCGTAAAGTTCCAACAGTACATTCAACGAAATGTACATTTCGCGAAGTCGATCCCCGGGACTTTCCGCAAAATAAACCTGTTTTCTCACACAACGGGAACAGAATTATTCATACTTGTCATTCATCGAACTGGTCGATGACGTCTTTACCAAGTAACATTGACGTCAGACACATCTTTTTGTTCTAATTAACCGCGTCGCGGAATTTCACGAAATTTTTTTATGAAGAATAGCTAGAGCTCGCGAAGTCGCGTTTTTTGCGCTCGACAAGTTCTCTACCTGAACGTTGAAGAAAATTATTTACACGCGCAATGATTACGCAATGCGTGCCGGCGCGTGTTCAAGATCCTCGCGAATACATAACACGTCGATTGACATGCATCGCGTGACACTACGATACCGATTTATACAGAGTGACCGAGAAACATATGTCAATCCAGAAATTGGATCTTTAAATAATTATAATCGCGCTGAGTTTTTCTAAACAAGTATCATGCGTTCTGAGCTAGTCAGCATTTTTAATCGTACATTATCTTGTTTATCAAAATGTCAAAAATATAAATTATTAGTATATGTATTTGAAAAATCTCTGTTAGATAATATAGCCTACGAGAATTCGTGTCACTGTATCTTTGAGCATGTTATAACGCGTTTTAGAACAGAGGACGCTCTAGCTAGTAGCTCTGATCGAAGTTATATATTCTAAACAAATTAGGATCAATACATATTTCAATTAAAAAAACGGAAATCATTTTTCATATAATTATTTAACATTGCGAATTTTAAATAATTAAATAATAAGCCACGCTCGCCGAGAAATATTGATAATTTTCTACGATCTGTTTAATAAATTTTTGCGATGCACGGATAATTTAAAATAGGAAGATGTACAATTTTCCCTATTCTAAGAAATCAGATTTTCGTCTATCTCGTGCAAAATGAAATAACATCGGTGAAATTAGATATTATACAACGCATGCGCGCGCGCTTAATATACACGTGGCGTGCATAAGTGTGTAATTGAGAGAAACCTTTTCGCCTCGTGTCCTCCATTGAGCGTTTTTTTAAAGACGCTGGCTAATTTTAACGGCAACTTTCGAGATTGAAGATTCGCTCATACTGTTGATCACATGGTATATTATCTGGCTGGCTAATTAGGCCAAGTTGTTCGATCGTGCTTTTTCGATAATTTGCCGAATCGATAAAAAGCCTTTGTATTTAACAACGGTAAATTTATCTAATCATCAAAATATTCCCTGTAAAACGTCCTAAAAAAATGAGAACTTGTATTTTAATTTATTTGAATTACGACTCTTTTTAACGAATTTCGAGAATAATTTTTTTTCTCTACGGTAAACTGATAACGAGACTGCGTTATCGTGTTTTTCATAACGCTTGTTGTCAAATATCCGAATGATTGAGCAGATATTAATTAGAAAACTTATTGTTAGCAGTATTTGTGAATTTATTATGTCACGATCCTTGGCAGGCTCGGAGAGTTTTTTTATCGATCGCGATTGTTATACATCTTACACCTGTTACCTAATGTCGACGATACGCCACGTCTTAACAAACTATTTCAGGGGCGATCCTTTCATTTCAAGCTTGCGAATACACACGCATCGTCTATTATTAGATTTTTCTCTTCTTGACCTGACTCTCTGAATGTCAACATGTTTCACTGCCAACCGCGTATTTCGTAAGGCAGCCTTTCTTTCTTCCTTTTAAGATCGTTACTTTATCCGTGACGAGTCGTGTTGAAGAACTTTCTTTAAACATACAATTCCTATAATAATTTTAACGTTAAGCTTTTCTATGAGACGCGACAAAGTAGAAAATATTTTCGAGAAATTTAGAATTTTTTTTAATCAACTTAATTAAATTTTGTTGGAAATATGTATATATTTATTTGTTTTGCCTTTTCGAGATTCTACGAGATTTAATCGAATAGAATATGTAGCAGAATTCGAAACTGATACGAATTCGACGATGCTATTTTAAATGTCCTTAGTTATGTCACAGTTTTAAAATTAAAAGCGTTATACCTCCACTGTGTGTGTGAAGAAAATCATAGTTGATTTTGTCCTCATTTCAAATTGAAGATGCTTTAAAGATGTGTGGAAAGAAAACGTATCAATTATTAAAGATCTATTAATTACAGATTATTAATTGTTCGATAGATTAATTGAAGTATTACACAGTTGTATGTGCTCATAGTTTTCTAGCTTTTCTCTGCAAGTATTCTTGTACATATATAATCTTTTCTTATGATGCAAATATTAACTGGAGATGACATAAAAGTGTTATCTTACATTGAATATTACGTTAATATTTATATGTTAAATATTGACTCATATGTTTCCAGATAGCATCCGTTCCGTAATATAACGCTCTTGAGATAAAACTTTTGTGTACGAAAATGACGATCTTAAGCTTTATTCAAACTTACCTCGTCACGTGTTATTTTGCTCCGAAACATGTTTAAATAGTCGTACGCATATGTTACATATAAAAAAAAATTATGATTACGATTTTTCAGTTTCATATTGTATACAATATAAATAGTTGGTAATAAAATAAGTATACTTATTTTATTACCAAATTCTCGGGGATTACAAATAATAAAAAATTTATTAAGATCGGAA